GGAGGGGAGTGGATGAGCGCGCATTCGCTTATAGCGAGACTGGTATTCTGCCTTTTTCTTCGGCGCCTATGGCAACAATGTTTCTCTACGAAATTTCTAAGGGGTGAATAATAGTATACGGTCTATGATATTATAATAGAAGTCGCTGGGGCTCACTCACTTCTGTTGATGATGCTGGCTTTGAAGTAGTTGGCGTCTTCCTTTACCTCCTTGATGCACTTGTAGGTGTCGCAAGGGTTTCGGAGGAAAGTGGAGCCCACGTCCCGACATTCACCATCCACCTCACAGCCTGAAATGCGAGTATGGCGAGGATGTTATGGTTTTACTTCGTATTTCACTTTTCAGTCACACTGCCAGCAGCACAAATGACCCCATCTGGTCACCAAGCCAGGAGAGGGACTGCAACAGACTTCTCGGGTCTGGTGCACTACTGCGCCAGATGACCAGAACTGATAATTTTCACCGTCGCATCATTGCGCCAAGCGACTGCAAAGTGTTAATTAATACAAAAGTACAATTTTACGGACTAATCAGCAAATTGTTTATCATATAGAAATACGATTATTGTACTTTGGCCTTGCCTGCCTTGGCCAACAATAGGTGGGAAAGATACTACACCCCTTCAGACGGACCAAAATATCCCAATACATTTTTATTTAATGATTTATTTTTTTTTACAAAGAAAGAAAAGCCAGAAACTTCTCCAGCTGGGAATCAAACTCATGTATTCTGATGGTAGTGTTAACGATCCTAACATCTATACCACTCATGATGTAAAAATATGAATAAATAATAAGTGACGAGATAAGGGGGGGGGCTGTTTAGTAGGTATTGTGGTGTTGTGGGGTGGTGGTGAAACGACTTTAAGATGAATAAATAAATAAATAAATAGATAAAAACTGAGAGGAAAAGATGGGATGAGGCAGTGCGAAACAAGATGAAGGGAGGACACTTAAGATTTTAAAAAAAAACCAACACGATGAAATTACGTCTACAAGTAATACGTTAATGAAAAAAAGAAAGGAAAGATAAAGTTTGTTCGTTTGTTTGGTTGTTTCTTTTTCTTCTTTTTCGTTTGTTTTTTAATTGATTTTTTTTTATTAAAGTCCACGTAGAATCAACAACCTCGGTGTCCTTTGGCTTAGTCTGAAGTACTGCTTGACTCATTTTGCAACTTGTCGTGACCACAACAGAAGAACTTTCCTTCTCTTTTTGACGTCTCTCTCCAACACTCAAGATATCATTAAGATAATGTTGTCTCCGTAGTAAGTTAATGTGGACAAAGCCACGAAATCGTGTGGAGAACATTTTTATACAAATACAAACAGGAAAATTGTGGAATACTTACTGTTCTTTGCTCTGAAATACAACTTTGTATAAGGACTTTTTAAGTTAGTTAAGTAAAGTGTCACACTTCACACTTCACATTATGGCAGCTGAATTTTATACATTTGACTACAAGGCATTCCGAGATGGCAGGCACTTTCAATGTATAAAATTAATGTTTATGCTCTTGTGAGCCAAAGAAAAGATTTCACACTATTACAGAGTTTCGTGTGGCAGGGTTGAAACTGTTGTTAGACAATGAGAGCTTTGGATCACTTGGCTTAGTTATTCATGTTATTACGAAATTAAGTGTTCCGTGTCAGTTTTTAAACAAACTTGCTCTCGTTTAATTTGCTACCTTATATTTTTCAATACAATACAATAGCGCCTTAAATGATATATTTGTCCCATTTAAATAGAGAGCAGTGTGATACGTACCCACGGCGTTATGCTATAAAAGCATTTCAATTTTGCACTTTGAAGTTCTTTAAGGTGGGTAAATTATTTTGGTGACCATGTCCTAAGTATGCTACAAACATACAAATTAACATTTTCTTGTCCATTTGACCAAAGTATTTGTGGGAGTTTTTACAAAGTAAAAACCTAAACAATAATACATTTTACAAGGATACAAAAGAAATTAAACCAAAGCAGAATATTCAAACAAAAACAAATCGCCCAACTGCAAGAAAAATGCCAACTTCTTTTATTTCATAAATTTGACGAGCGCCTGATTTCACCACAACGCCTGTCCTCTGTCTCTGCTTTACTTACCTTCCTGGATGGTATTCGCTTTCCCATTGGCGCACTGGTACATAAAGCACTTCGATCGGCCCGGAATGCTGAACTTTTGTCCATTTTCGTACGTAACTCCTTCTACAATGCATTTTTCTGAGAAATACAAGGTTACATTTGAACTTATTTGCTTCGTTTAACAAAAATTAAATCAGAGCAGAATATTCGAACAAAAACAAATTGCCCAACTGCAAGAAAAATGCCAACTTCTTTTATTTCATAAATTTGACGAGAGCCCCGTTTCACCAGAACGCGTCTCCTCTGTCTCTGCTATTGTATTGACTATACTTTCTGTCAATACCAACGATCAACAAAAAACAAAAAGGTACCCTTTGATTTAGTCCCGGGTAAAGGGTTTGAAATAAGCTGTGCCTATTAAAATGTTACTAAGCAAGAGTGTGTGTTTGTGTGAGTGTGTGTGTGTTTATGTGTGTGTGTGTGTGTGCATGTGTGTGTTTGTGTGCATGTGTGTGTTTGTGTGTTTGCGTGTGTGTGTGTGTGTGTGTGTGTGTG